GGTTGATGTTGATCGTAGGGGCTCCGGCACCCGGGTTTGCCCAAATAATAATGACCTCGGTGACCTGGCTGTTGGAGACTCCGAACCCAGTCATGCCTGCGGGGAGACCAGCGATTTGTCCAGCTTGAGCCTGTCCCTTCTCTCCCTTCTTGTGACCATCTCTCCGGACGGGGTAGTGGTTGCGGACCGACTTGGCGGAGGCCATGACGGCGGCGGAGAGAGCTAATACTGCCGAGAACTTCATGTTGACTGTGTTAAGTGATGTCGTCGGAGTCGATTAGGGTGGCCTTTTCTTTTCGTTTGTCGAGGATGATGCGATTGTAGTTGCCTCCTCTTTTCTCTTTTTTTTTTCTCTTCTCGGAAGATTTGGTGTTGGCGAGACTGCTAGAGCCCGGCTAGAAAGTCGAAAGGAATAAAAGGGTTTAGATATAGCTGGATGGCTTTAATGGCGAGGGCCTGCTCGTGACGAAGAAGAGTGAACACGGAACCGAAAAGAGAACGAAAGTCACACAGGGAATGAGTGAAGACAGGCGGATGAAGAAGAGATGGGGGAGAAGAAACAGAAACCTCTCTGACGGCGAGGATGAGGGGGGAGGAGGAGAGCTTAAATCGAGCGAGACTCGGTTGGCATGAGGAGCGCGAGCCACGTCGCATTATCGGTTCGTTATCCCATGTCATGGGCCAAGGTACTTTGAGTGTGAGTGGAATACTAAGGTAGGGACAATGGTCTACGGTATGGACATAGCAGGGCATGGCATGGGATAGCCCCTTCCCGGCCGCAACATCGACCTCGACGAAACAGGACGAGAAAATCTTCCGCCAGCCCGTCCTTGGGAAGTGTTGGAAAGGCACCAAGCACTTTGGACCCCGGTCATGCAAGCCAAGCAACGCCTCCGGGGGTCCTTACTGTGCAGGATTCTGCAGAAGGGGGGAGGGGAGAGGCAACGAGGATGGAGATGGAGCAAGGGTCTGGTGCGTGTAAGACGATGTGTCTTTGGGCGGTTCGTTGCTCGGGGATGCAGCGTCCGATTAAGCACACGAAGCACAGGCCCACGGCGGCATTGCCATCCCAAGCTTGGAGCAAATTAAGAACAAAAAAGCCAAGACGAGATGGGTGGAGAGTGCGTGGTGGTACGAAGTAGACGGTAGTAGTAGGGGTAGTAAGGGTCAGGGTTGAGAGGAAGAGGAACAGGAACAGGAAGCAGGGGTGTGTGTGCTGCGAACGGATGAATGACGGAGAGACGATAGACGACAGAGAGAGAGAGAGAGAGAGGCGCTCAGCGCACGAACGGGAACGAGGAGACAGCAGCAGGGATAGTAGAGACGAGGATGATGCTGCCAACGGAGCCGCAGTAGTGCAAGTGAGAAGCTTGGTGTGCCATCAGCAGGGAGATGGGCTGTCTTGTCTCGTCTCGCAGCTTTCACGGAGCGGGCATGGTGAAGTCACTCGACTGGGATGCTGCTGGGCATAACGAGTACCTTAGCCGTAGAATGAGCGAGTGCGAGAGTAACCTTGACTCCCGCCAGAGACTCCGCAGTGATCTTTGAGAGTGATTAGTGAATGAGGCCCTGTAATGTGGGTGGTACGCGGGAAGGAATGGATGGCGAGGAACTCGGAAGGGGAAAGGATGGAAAAGTCGGATGCCATGACAGCTTCGGTTGAGTTGGTACGTTGGTTGAGACGGCTCGCAGTTGCGCTAGCGCTACCAAGGAGCAGTGTGCGGTCGAGGAGGCGGGAGCTGTGACAGAATCGTCTCGAGTCGTGTTTTGGCATCTCGCTAAGTGGCCCCCCCTGGCCGTTATTCCGAACACGGCACTCGCTCGGACCCTAGGCGACGTCTCTTGTTCATACAGAGTATCCGTACGATGGGAGGATACCACGAGTTGTGCTGGTCATGGCCGGGAAAGGGGAGGCCTCTCGACGGAGAAAATGGCATGGAAGCAGTACCTACGTTTGTGACAATTGTGAACGTCAAGAGGTTGTCGATAATTCCGTAAGCTATCGTGACAATTGGTGTGTAGTTGACGAACTAAAGTTCGAGATGTACCTATCCGCACCCTTTCAAGAACCGTCACCCAGATAAGGTAGACAGATAGATTAATCGATCTTAGCAAGACCCTCCTCCCCCAAGTGCCCCAAATTGCCAGAATTGCCCGAAGTGCTTGCCCCAAGGCTTGTCTCTTCCTTCCCCCGAGGTTCTTCATTACCTTACCTTACGCAAATTAAATCTCCCGCTGTCTCGGGGGGTGCTAAACCTTAATGCAGCCAATTAAGGTGGTTGGACCGTCGAAATGCCCCCCTGACAAGACATTCTAGCTGCCGGAGCCACGGGATGGTGTCCCCACCTACTCAACTCCTCCCCTCCACTTTCCTCCCCCGTTTCCCACTTTTCCTTCCTCTTTTCTGCATCCCGAGTGTTGGCAAGTTCCTCATCTGGCACACCGTTCCTGCAGGTACCGAGACACAATACAACTCTACCCATCAACCTTATACCTTTTCCAAGTCTAAGGTAGGTAGGTGCTGTGTAGCCCTCCACCCCTTCCCAGTGTCAGGCACAAACCCGTTTTTAGCGCTGCCACCCTCAGAATACGTATTTCTTCTCGTCTCTATCGTGGATGCAGTTGCTGGCACCTTACCAGGCTCAACTTCCTCGAAAAAAGACTTACTGCTACTGTACAGAACTTGGCTTACATACTCGGACACGTCAAATACCGGGAACCAGGCCAGGCAGGTCCCATCGTCTTCACACGTGCCAAGGTACATTCCCCGTTGGCCTGGCCCCTCCTGACTACCTTACGGAGTACCTCTCGTCTCTCTATCCTTTAGTGGACGGATATCGCTGTGCAAGTTGCAACACCATCATTCCGCACCATCTCGGTTTTCGGCTTCTTTGGCTCACCAAAGCGGTCTTCTCCCCATCCGCCCGCAATCCCGGCATGAGTCGGCACGGATAGCAAGGCATCGCCATCGCGAGAAACTAGGCGTGCCAGGCGTGCCAGCGTCACCAAGCACCTTGATGCCGGGCGTGCAGCCGCCTCAAACAGCCAATGAAGACTTTGAAACAAGCCCCCTCTCCCCTTTCCCCCCTCCGCCTTCGTACCTACCCTCTTTTTCATCGTGTCTTTCTCTTTCTCTCTGTCTGATCTGAGGTGGTCACGGGCAACTCTCTTCCCGGTCCACACACCAAGGCTCGTCCAAGACTTTTCTGTTGCAAGATAACCCACCCACACACACAGACACCAAACTCAACCATTCAGAGAGACACGGCCCAATCCAATCTCGCCGTCATCCAGTCCTCCAACCAACTTTGCTCATCTCACCCGCCATTGTCAGCCGCCACACACTGCTACGCCCACCACCGACCCTCCGTCCCATCCATGATCCCAACTTCCAAGACAACCACAAATACATCCATGTGCCCTGTTCTTGCCCAACAAGCATCAGGATTCATCCTAACCGACTGCTCCTACACTATCCGCTCCTATAGCCCTTTAGTGCAACCATCAGCCTTGTCTTGACACAGGTCCATCGACGGCGCTAGACATCGGCTTATTCTCCTTCCAGCACCATCATACCATCATCCCGTCATTTCTTGGTCCGAGTCGCAAGGAGACCAACTGTGCACAGTACAACACTTAGCCCAGCCTTCTATCCGTTGATATCTGTCATGTCAAGATCCATCACGGTCTGCGGTCCGCCTGTGCTCGCTGCTCAGTGGCTCGGTCAGCCTGACGTATACAGCGCATCGCCAGCCTGCTCGGGCATGGGCCGAAAGAGGGCATCGGCCTCCTGTCAAGCCCAACCTAATCCCATGAATTCCATCCGTCGTACCCGGGCCGTGTTATCCACTGCATCTTCACTCTAGGATGGACGTCCGTCCTCTGCAACATGACTCCGGACCGGAGGATCTCCACGCTCATTGTGCAAACCTTCTGGATAGAGCGGCTCATGAAAGCGCCTATCTGACATGAACAACCGATGCGTCGCGCTCATGCAGATTCTCGAGCAGTACCTAATTCACCGACAGGGGAAACAACTCCACCAAAACTCAAGCAGTCGGTCCAGGACAATAAGCGAGTCCACACTGAAAACGCTCGAATGGTTCCTGACTCTTGAATTATCGAGGCCGCGGATCGGTGGGCCATTGCAACTCCACGTTTCCATCCAATACCTCTCGACTTGTTTCCGATCGGAACCCTACAGAGAGTCATCTCAACTAAATCCCCATAGGCCGCCTTCATCATACCCAAGACCTCTTGGCTGGCCTGCACTAAGGAGTGTCATCTCTTGTATACCCGCCCGCAGTGCGGTGGCCTTGCTAGGAATCTATGTTCAGGGACTGGTCTGGTCGCCGCACATTGCGTGGTTATCTGCCCAAGTTGCACCTGCGCGATGACGAAAAAACAGTCCTCGACTCGCATTCTGCTGGGGCTTTTACCTTCGGAGCGGAAGGGGGAGGAACAACCAAGCCTAGACCCTTCCACGGTGAAACAAAACGAACTCTTGGATAGCCGACGAGATCACACTAACGTTTTTTTTTTCCCCTTCTGTCGCAGTCACGAGGATTTTATTGGGTCCGCCAGGCCAAGTTCGCCCGACCCCGACTTGGACCGCATCCTAAATTCCCCCGTCCCAAGAGCCAAGCAGACAACAGGATAGAAAGATGAATCAAGAGGCTGCTGACTGAGAACTTGCTGCTCCTGTCGTTCGTGTGACACATGCCACGGCAAACCTCAGACAAGGAACGGTGTGGCGCCGTTGCATCATCGGACGATGGAACAGATCGTGTTACAGAACTCGCCCTCTCGCACGTCGATCAGATAAACTCTCTGGTAGCCGCTTTTCAGGACGACCAACCTCACCCCATTCCCCACACAACCTTGCATTTGGCGTGTCCCAGGCGGCCAGGCTCAAGGGGTCCGCTCAGCCTCGTTGTCGCACTTGCAGCGGCTCTCTCGCTGGTATCGATTGGCTCGCGGTATCTACTTTGACATCTGTCTAATCCCTATTATTGCTGCTGCTGTTGCTGTTGCTGGCCTTCGTACAATCCCGTGTAGTAGCCGGCATAGTACCACGACATCAAAAGTCTCTTCAAGCCCTCGTCTTGCACTACAAACACGAAGAAAGGGGTTTCTCAGTCAGTCTCGGTGTCCAAGTCCAACAAGGCTACTTTGCAACTGCCGTCCCAACTCTGGGTAGCCCGGGATCGTTTACATACCTGATCCGAGAAGACTCTGCGGGCCCATTGTCGCAGGCCCTGGGGGGCCATTAGCCTTTGCCATAGGCGGCGCACCTGTTGAATCTGCCTGGTCCTGGACCTAGATCGGGACAAGCAAGGTAGACGTTAGCGGAAGCGAACAAGATTGAGATTGCTGCATAACGACGAGGTAGAGAAAGAAAAAGCCAAGCTTTTTTGATCTGCCTGGATTTTCATCTGGGGAGGGGGTTTATCATCGGGGGGTGTTTTACATCCGTGCTGCTCAACCCCTTTGTTTTGTCGGTTCCCTCTGCAGCATCATCCGCGATCTCTGGCTGATCGACGGCCTGCGTTTGCGCGTCGTCGACGGTCCTGCGTAGATCATTAACGTGTCAGAGTCTCGGAAAAAGAGTTCTTGGGGGCGTTTAAAGAAAGAGAGGGCTTAGCCGTACTGGGCTTCTTCCGTCTTCTCCGGAAGATCAAGGTCCTTGAGCTTGCCTCCCTTTGCGTGGATGCTGTGATACTTCTGCAGGGTTGGTTAGTAACTACTCTACTCTCGCGAGGATTGTATTCCTCTCTTCCCTCTCCTGTGATGAATGAGTCTGTCGCTTACTTTGTACTCGTCCAGGGCCTCGTTCCATGACTCTATCAGCGCAGAGTCATCCCACATCTCATTGTGCGACATTTCCACATCGTTGCCGGCCATGTTGCTGGATTGAAGCGAGCCTTTTCAAATTGGATGACGCGTTCCTGACGATAACGGGCACTGATGAGGCGGTGTGTGAGTATTAACCTCTCTGGGTTTACTTGGTGTGAAGCTGGCGCCAGAGGTAAGGACGGCGTTGCTTCTCGATCAGTTGCGCGAATGATGGAGGATTGAGCTCGGAAGGTTTTGGCCGCTCAATTAACCTGTGGAATTTGAGAAGTCTTGCTGGCTCTTCAGGTGCGCTGGTGTGCTTATGGGATCCTGATGAGATATCTCGAGTTTTGTGATGCGTTTTGGCGATATGGCAAGCGAGGAGCGCTGTGATTATCGTTGTTTGAACTGTTCTGTCTTAATTATGAGACTCGATTGCGGTGAGAGGCGGTCGGGTGGTGTTCACGGGGAGTCGTCAAGACAAAGTCATTCTGGTTGTAAGATGGTTAGATGAGAGTGCCTTTATGAGATCCCAGCCTGAGGTGTCGTTGTTGTCGTTGCGCATCAACCTCACTGACGGATTTCCAGTCCTTGGGCTTTCTTTCTCAGGGAATCAAAGGCACCTCAGCTGGTAAACAACAGAGGCTAGTTCACCGCGCAGTGCTGCAACACTACTCAAGGACGGTGCCGCGGGTGCACATACAGTGTAAACGTCCCCACTAAAAAGTCGCTTTTGGGGCGGCTGGGAACACACGCTTAGCGGGCGTAGCGGGGTCGCATGGACTCACCGCCTCCACATCGGGCCGGCAGAATCTGGGAAATTTTTATTTTTTTTGCCTTTTGCGACAGTACTCGACGACCAGGCGTGTGGGTACAGGTTCGGTTTTCTAGGGACTTGTTTAACAATTGCTCCCCAAACACATCAGCAAAAATGGCCCCCGAACTGAGAAAAAGAACCAGATGTAAGTTGACAAGCTGCATGATACGTGCCCTTCATGATCTAATGATTCTTATTAGCCGTCACTGGCAAGGAGCCTGTGGCGAAGAAGGCGGCCAAGGTCGAAAAGGTTGAAAAGGTCGAGCCTGCGACTGAGAAAGCACCCAAGAAGGTGACCAAGAAGGTCACCAAGGAGGAGAAGGTCGAGAAGACCCCCAAGCGCAAAGGTAAGTTCCGATGGGATTGCTGCGATGTTGCATTGGCTTACCAAGATGCCCTGAGCAGCTCCCGAGGAGGCGCAAGCTTCTCCCGTCGCGGCGAAGAAGCAGAAGCCCGCCAAGGCGAACGCGAAGTCGAAGAAGTCTGCCCCCGCACCCGAGCCCGTCGAGGAGGAGGAGGAGAAGAAGGCCGAACCCGAAGCCACCGAGGATGCCGAGACCTCTGTCGTAGCTTTCGAGGAGGAGGATGACGACGAGGAGGTCGACGCCGACATTGCCGCCCTCGCCGCCGGCCTCGACCCAGAGGACGCGCCGGCCGGCAAGGGAACCTTCAAGGAGGGCCAGGATGTCGGCAAGGTGCCCAAGTTCAAGAAGCAGAAGCAGTTGACAAACGGCAAAAAGGAAGAGCCCGGCGTGGTCTTCATCTCCAGACTGCCCCACGGCTTCTACGAGCACGAGCTCAAGGGCTACTTTTCACAGTTTGGCAACATCACCCGCCTCCGCCTGGCGCGCAACAAGAAATCCGGCGCGAGCAAGCACTACGCCTTTCTCGAGTTCGCCGAGGCCAGCACGGCCGAGGTCGTCGCCAAGACCATGGACAGCTACCTGCTGTTCGGCCACATCCTCAAAGTCAAGACGGTGCCGGCGGACCAGCTGCACGAGGACGTGTGGAAGGGCGCTAACAAGCGCTTCAAGAAGATTCCCTGGCACAAGATCGCCGCCGGCGAGGTGGCGAAGCCGAGGACCGAGTCCGGGTGGTCGCACAAGGTGTCCAAGGAGGAGAAGAAGAGGCTGGAGCGCGCCGAGAAGCTCAAGGCGATTGGGTACGAGTTTGAGGCGCCCAAGTTGAAGGAGGCTGTTGCGCCGCCGCCTGAGCCCATGGCTGTTGACGCGCCTGAGGAGACCAAGGCTATTGAGGCTGCTGCGCCGGTTGAGGAGGAGAAGAAGGCTGTTGAGGAGGCCGCTGAGGAGGTGGAGGAGAAGGTCGCCGAGGTTGAGACGCCCAAGTCTGCGAAGAAGGCGGCGGCCAAGGGCGGCAAGAGGAGAAAGTCCAGGGGTTAAGAAGGAGGCTCTTTTTTTTTTTATGATATCCCTCGTTACGACGGAACTGTTTTATCTCTCATCTTTCTGGGGATTCACAAAAAAAAAAGTCTTGTTTTTGGCATCAGGTATTTTACTGCGTTTCTCTGTTCACCCCGGAGTTGTTGCATCGAGAAGAAAACAATGGGACATAATTCAAAGGATTCAAGGTAGTATGTGCGCACATAGCGAACCCGTCGCACCCATTTTCAACCCAAAAGTTGGGGGCAGGCACCGGGATTATAAAAGGCGTTTTCGTCACTCTACTTCAGCGTCAAAAATGAACAAGTCATTGGGGAAAATGCGCTTGCTCGAGTGATATTTCAGCGAAGGGTAAAATATGTGAAGAAGGAAAGAGGAATCGGGAAAATTTCCGTCAATCGGAGTCGCTTCTTGAAGGCTTTGGCCGATAAGATAAGAATGACTAAGCGAGGGACCCGCCATCTGCTCAGGTGTAGCCGTACCTTACTGAATGAACTGTGGACGGACTTGCGCCAGTCAGCCGTCTTCGTGGATGTAGTTTATAAAACAAATAAGCTGTTGAGGTGTCATATTCCAGGCATGGTGCCGCATGAATATTTGCCTCGATCCTTGGATTTTCTAGCCATTCGTTATTCACCAATGCCTGAGATCAAGTCGAGCCATTGAGAGTGCGAATCCTCAGAGTGTGACTCGTGTTAGTCAGTTGACTACCTGCTAGGGCCGCCGTTTCATGTAACGATTCTGTGCTCATAGTAAACCACAGTGAAAGGCAGCATTCGAAAACGGTGCATTTCTCTTCCATCTCGTCAAAGAAGAATAAAGAAATAGAGTCTGGATTTGCCAATGGCAACATGATGAGTCTACAAGCCAGAACCACAGTTCTCTTGACCATGACTCTGTTCACTTCCTCGTTCAGCGGTCGTTTAAGCGCCTTGCCCACCGGGCCTTAGCTAATACACCTCGCTATCGGTACACTTTTTGTGGAGCTCCAGCCTCCATGGCCACCTACCTAGTGTGGGGGACGGGGGAGCAGCACCCTAGGTTCCGCGTGGGAATTGGAAGTGAACACGCTCGCTAATTTGCGAACCTAGCTTACGTGGTGTAAGTGCATGCAAACCCGCCCAGGTGCAAACTGTCGACATCCCAATTCCCAACCGACCGGACCCTCGAGACGAAGAAGAAATAGAGCTTTCCCCATTCCGCGCCCACCAGCTCAAAGGGCTATCCACACCTCCCGATGCATCTGAGAAGACAACATGTCGGCCGCCGCTCCCTCCACTGATCCGATTCAAAACGCATCTTCAGGTTCGTGGCCCGATTGAAACACTTCCCAAGTGTAGACATGCGCGGCGCCAGGCTAACAGGGGACCTTGCAGGGAAGAAGAAGAGCGGCAAGAAGAAGAAGAACGCCAACAAGCCCAAGGAACCCATAGAGACAGACAGCGCGCCTCCTGCGCCCGACAATGCAGAGGACGGCGATGATGAACCGGAAACCCCGGTGCAGGTGATACTCCCTTGATCCCTCCGCCCTCCCTCCTGCAACCTGCAAAGCTCAAAATGTCTGACTGCCGTCGTAGGCTTCTGCGCCTATAGAAGAATCCAGCCCCGAACAGTCGACGGATAAGGACACAACAGCCAATGGCCACACGGAACGGCCGACGAGCAACGGACACGCGAACCCCCCGATAGAGGCGGCCGCAGAAGAGCAGGGAACCAGCCCCGATGCCACGGCAAAGCTGGACGCCCTCACAAAGGAACGAGAGGCGCTGCGATCAGAGGTTGAACAATTGAGGAAGCAGCTGGAGACAATCCAGGGTACACACAATGAGACCGTCACCCAGCTCAAGTCGGAACTGGAGGAGACGTCGTCGGCCAAGGAACAGGCAGAAGAGAGCTACCAAGGTCTCCTCGAGCGAGTCAACCACCTAAAGTCGACGCTCGGCGAAAGACTGAAGCGCGACCGCGCCGAGCTGGAAGAGGCCAAGGAGCGCATCGAGGAGCTCGAGTCACAGAACGAGGAGCTGCAGAATGGCACCAAGGCCTCCGAGGAAGAGGTGGCGAAGCTCCGGGACGAGCTGCAGGCTACGTCGCGCGAGGCGACGAGTCTGCGCAGCCGAAGCAACCTGTCCCAGCAGAACTGGGTCAAGGAACGCGAGGAGCTGATGAGGCTGGTTGCCAACCTCAAGGAGGAAGTCGAGACGACGACGAACGCCATGGGCGAATGGGAGGTCATCGCCATGGAGGAGCGATCCGTCAAGGAGAGCCTGGTCGAGAAGGTGACGGAGCTGGAGGAGCAGATTGCCAACCTCCGGGACGGCTACGAGAGCGCCGCGTCCGAACGAGATCACCAGTCGCAGGTCATTGACAATCTGCAAAAGGCCCTGCGCGAGATCCAGGATGCGCGGAAGAAGGAGCTGCGGGAGATGGTCGAGACATCAGAGGAGCAGCTGCAAGCCATGAAGAAGCTCGTGCAGGAGGCGGATACCAGGGCTACCGAGGCCGAATCGGCCAAGGAAACCCTCACCAAGGAGCTCGAGCGCACAGCGCCGTTCGAAAAGGAGGTCAAGGAGAAGAACCTCTTGATTGGCAAGCTGCGGCACGAGGCCATTGTGCTCAATGACCATCTCACCAAGGCTCTCCGTTACCTGAAGAAGACAAAACCAGAGGACAACGTTGACAGGTATTGTTCCCTTTGCTGTTCACTATGAATCAGAGACCAACTAACATCCTCCCCAGACAAGTCGTGACGAACCACCTCATCCACTTCCTCACTACAGACCGCTCCGACCCCAAGCGCTTCCAGATTCTGCAGGTCATGGCCGGCTACCTCAACTGGACAGACGAGCAGCGCGAGCAGGCCGGGCTCGCCAGGCCAGGCACCTCGACCAACATCCTCCGCCTGCCGGCCTCGCCCTTCCACCGCACGCCCAGCACCCCGTCGCTGAGCGCAGAGTTCTTCTCCGAGACGCCCACCTCGGCGAATAAGGAGTCCCTCGCGGATCTGTGGGCGGGCTTCCTGGAGCGCAGCGCCGAGGAGGGCCTGGATCAGGGCTCCTCGGCGGGGACCCCGCGCGATCGCAAGGATAGCGGGAGCAGCGCGGCGACGGGACGGGGCGGCAATTAGTGGAGGTCGTCATGGACCGCGTAAGATGTTTGTTGACGTCGTTAGAGAGGCGTAGAGGCGGCGAACCCCAATGTATTCATTTCTGACAGCCTACAGAGCATAAGGGGGGTTAAAGACCATTATCGTTGGGTACCTCTCCCGAGATGGGTGGATGTGTGTGTGTGTGTGTGTGTGTGTGTGTGTGTGTGTGCGGTCGGCCATCCACTTACACTTACACTTTCCCAAACAAAACTAAAAACAAGTCATAAATATGAAGAAGACCTTGAAAAAAAAAAAAAAAAAAAAAAAGAATTCACCGATGTGGCTAATCTCTTGGTGCTCGTGCTGGGATTCGAACTCGGGTACTCTCGTATACGCTAAGCCTGTCGTCGAGTAGGCTGGTTAGCACAATTTTAATTGACCATTAACCACTCCACCACTCAGCCAGTTTGACCTGACCCGTCGACCTAGACGGGCGCCTGCTGGCTGGTGACGGGAATGGAGTTGAGGTGGTATATATGGGCTCCTGCCAGTGTGTATTCAGGGTATTAGGGTGGTGGGAAAGTTATCGGATGAAAGTTTGGTCGATACGGTCCCGGCACGCGTCTACATGCCTTTTCAGGTAACCGTGCCCGCCTATCTTGAGGATGCTACCTGTTGTATTTCTCGCGTACATTTAGAGGGATAGGGGGAATAGGGACGGTCTTGGATTACCACGGCAGAAGATCGGTACCAAGGATACGATGAGAATTAGGGAAGGACAGGCTGGGAGGAAAGGCTCATGGAAATACTTTTGCGATGGATTACGAGCCCCAGAGGCGATTTAAAGACCAGGCCTTACTTTTCTCTTTCAGTTCGCGCGAACCTCGCCCCCCTCCCCCCCAGTTCTCGACCAAGTCATAATTGTATGCTCTCTTTCTTTATTCTCTGTATAAGAAGCTGTAATGCCCATCTATACATATGCTACATCAACTCTAAACTTCCAATTGAGTGGAAACACGACCACGCCGCTCATTGCGCAGTCCCTTCCGGCTGTCTAAACACACCCTCGGTATAGTTCTCAGCATCGCTCGTGACCTGCTGTATATTAATCCTATTCTCCAGCGCATCGTTGACACTCTCGACAACCTCCCTCTCCTCCATGGCCTCGCGCACCATCTGGCCCTCGCGCAGCCAGTACGCCTGACTCCGCGCCCGCAGCTCCTCGTCGCGCAACGTCGTGTTCTTGACGATGCCCAGCGCGCTGAGCTTGCTCTTGACCGTCGTCAGGGCGCGGTTGCTCGCCTCGATGCGCTCGGCTTCCGAGGGCGGCAGGACGAAAGCGCGGCGGGTGCCGGAGAGGAATAAGAGGGCGCCGATGCCGATGTCCAGGACCGCGAGGGCGATGTACCGCAGCGCACGGGCGCGCCAGTAGAAGAAGTCCATGTCTTGGAGGCGGAGGGCGGAGGCGTTGGCGGAGTAGTCGTACTGGCCTACGAGGACTGCGTCTGCTGCAGTGAGGGCGGCGGCGGCCATTGTCGCATGGGAGCGCCAGCGGGCGCCATCGCGGCCGGTGAAGGTGGAGGAGGTGACGGCGGCGAGGGCGATGAGATTGACGAGGTGGGGGAGGATGATGGCGGGAAGGGCGTAGTAAAAGTAGGATTTGGGATCCTCGGACTTGCAAAAGGGGCAGTCTGCGAGAGCGGCGGGGCCGAGCTGGAGGTAGAGGAGGCGGGACTCGAGGTTGACGAAGCGGGCGCGGAGGCGCTCGTCGGCGGCGGTGAGAGCGGATTCCGGTCGGAGGGAGGACAGGCGGTTGAAGAGGACGTCAACAGGGATCTGGAGGCGGGACTGGGTGAGGGTGAAGAGATTCTCCGGGGCCAGGGGCGGGAGGGTCTTGACGAGGTAGACGATGACGATGATGGCGAGGATGGCGAGGGCGCGGGCTATGCGGGGCGGAGGGGGGATCGGTTCGCCGCTGTGTTGGGAGGCATTGCGGATGGATTTGTAGGCTGCGATTGCCTTGGGGAGGAGGATCGGACCGAAGACGAGAAGGAGAGAGCGGATTCTGTAGTGGTGGAGAGTTGTGCGGTCAGTTTTTTTGGATCGTGTTGACGGACGTTGGTGGTGATGTCGCGAATTTGGCGATGATGTAGCTCGGGGGGGTATGGGGTAGGTACGTGTGTGAGGTGGGAGGTGGGTGGAGGGACATGTGGCTACTTACTCTGACCAGCCAAATGCCATGACGGGCCAACGACGACGGCGACTTGCTATCAAGCAAGCGCTTTGTGCGTAATGCGTCCGAGTGTGAAAGTCGGCGGAGCTTCTCGAGAAAAGAGAAAGAGAGTTTGAGAATTCCGTATTTGGAGCTCGAGGCTGACAAGTGTTCTTTTTTTGGAGGTTGATAGTTCGAGGACGGGGTCAGCGCGTAAGGCTGCACCGAGGCCACGGTATGAGAGGGAAAAGATGAGTTAACTTTCTGCCAACAGCAGATCCGGCTTACCTAAGATGAGATTTTCCAGGCGACAGAAGTTAGGAGCGCATTCCGGTGCAGGGGTATGCTGACCTTGGTGGTTCGCTGTGACGGCACGATGATGTAGCCACTGCAGGTACGCCGAGAGCTTCTTGTTTACCAGTTATTATTTGCGACAGCGATAGCGACAGCAACAATGTTGGAGAACAAGGTCACCAACAAATCAAGAGTCACAGTTAGGTTAGAGAGAAACAATGGTCTACTGTAGCATAAAGATTAGAGATTATGCCATTCGTTTCATTAACATACATCAAAAGCCAAGTCATTCATCGTCGCTGATGCTGTTCTCTTGCTTGCAGAGGCCGTCAAATGCTGCTTCTTTTTTGCCATCTTTTGGCCTTTTTAGCCCGCGCCAGCTCCGATTATCGTTGACCATTTCCCACTCCGAAAGACAAATGAACTTTTTTGGTTTTGGTATCCCGACTCCGCCCGATGATGAGTGATGAAAGAAAGATGAAAAAAAAAAAAAAAAGAGAATCAAAAATGAAAACAACAAATACCAAGGCCAAGGCTAAGGCGAGGGAATCAAATGCTGATGATGCTGGTCGCTTGTTTTTCGGTCGATGCATTCGAATGCAGATGCTTTCCCTTTCCCCATTCTCCCTTTTTTTCGATTTCCCATGCGATGCTGCGATGTGCATGTGATTCATAGCTTGCGTCCAAACATGAAGGACCCGTACATGCCGCCGACTTCGGCGCGCGCGACCGGGATCTTGCGCATGCCCCAGTTGTCGGCGCCAATCTTCCACCACCGGTAGCCGCGGTCCTGGTCCTTGCGGTGGTCCTGCATTCGGACCATCCAGCATCGGCTTCCGATCTCCTGCAGGGACCAGCCGACGCGCTCCAATGCCCTATTCCGAGATAGGCTCTTGAAAGATTGCTCCGAGATCTCTACCACCTCGAGTGGCACCGAGCTCGGTTTTAGCAGCGAGTTTCGGCTGGAAAACAAATCAACGATATCCAATTCGCTGCCCCAGAGGTCCGAAAGGTCCAGGTATCGGATCATGTGGGGCTCCTCCTGCTTCTTCTCGTCCGCCGGCTCAAGCAGCTTAGCGGCGGCATTGACATCCATGTCGCGCCCAACGGCGAGCTCCTCCAGATACTTGGTCAGCGGTCGCAGCAACTCGAGGTGCGAGTCATCCATGCGGCTACCCTTTAGGCTCAAAGACCGGAGCGTCTTGGGCAGCACAGGGATGAGCTGCGAAACGTCCTCCACATCCAGCAGCTGATGACTCCGAGCATCGGTGGCTACGCTCAGGTAAACGAGGTTCCTGACCGCCGGATGAGTCGCAAGGAAGTTGATAACGGTAGGCGCCGTGAGCAGTGTGCACTTGGCGAGGTTCAAGTGGGTAATCTTGGCCGTCTTCGGAATGGCCTGCAGTGCTCGGTCGGTGATCTTGGTCTGGGCAAGGTCCAGGTGCGTGACGTTGGTGAGGCGTGGCATGATCTTTTCGAATAGCGCGGGAGGAAGTGTCAGGCACTTGTGAAGCGAGAGGCGCGTGATCGAAAGCGTCTCGGGCCAGTCCATGTCTACCAGAGATGCAAATGAGTTCTTGAAAGACGGCGATGTGCACCCGGCAAAGTCCAATGCCTGCAGGCGAGGCATGCCGAAGAAGAGCTTTTGCAGCACCTCGGCGCCGAGGTCATCGTCAATGTGCTCCATAGCCAGGAACTCTTGGAGATGCGGTGTAAGCTCCAAGCATTGCAACAACGTCTCCTCCGTCAGGTTTCGCGTGCCCTTGCGCTCGCTGGCAGACTCGAAGAGGGTCGCGTTGTTAAAGTGACTAAAGTCGATGCGCCGTACGATGGTGCCCAGTGCAGGGTGTGTTGTGATGTTGGACAGGAACTTGCGGAAGATTCTCGAGTGAGGAATGGTGATGTGCTTGTACAAGGTGTTGAGGGTCGCGGCGTGTACTGATCTCGAGGTCAGAAGCAAGGACATCAAGTCGACGTTGCGGCGCGCAGTGCCGTACGGCGGAGGGATGTCGAGGACGAGAAGCTCAATGATGGATCCTAAGACATGGTTAGCTTCGCCAGGTTCCATGACAGAAGACCGTAAACTTACCGAGAATCTCCAAGGGCAGTCTTTCCATGGGCGCGCGGCAGTTAGCAGGCTTGTTGCCCTTGGGTGAAGGCGGAGGAGTGCTCCATGACATGTGCAATGCCTGGAGGTCACTGAAGCTCTTGCTGGCCGTCTTGCCCTTGACATTGATTTGCTTCCAGCCCTTGAAGCTGGAGGCAGGATACCAGCCGCCATGAAGTCTGCTGCTGGGGTGGGTGACGGGGGGCATGAACTGGACTTCAGCCATCTCGAGGGAAGGTGAGGCGATCGGCGAGGGTGAGGCAGAGGAGTCGTCGAACACGGCGTTGGTTGCTTTCTGAGCGTAGGAAGAGACCTTGGAGGAGGTGAACGTCTGGGCTAAATCGGAGTCGTTCTCGCGAATGGACGAGAAAGAGGACCTGCCATTCTTTTCTGGGGTAGCAGGTCGGTGCGGCTCTGGGCTGTCCATTTTGTATTCGATCAAAGTCTGAGGGTTGTTGTGGCCTGTCGGAGGAGTGCCTGGGGGTGTGTGTAAGGTGTGGTCCTGGGACGAGGTTTGCGGTTGGAGAAGTCGCGGAGAAGCCATGGCTGCAGGTACTTTACTTTGACCTTGAAGGTCCGGGTCGCTGCGCTCGTTGTTTC